CACCAAACTGAGGAGGATGCTTCCCATATTTAAGCAAAGAATCTTTGCTAAGATATACTACACACACAGAAAAACTTGTTTATTATGTATAAATGGAAACAAATCTGATCCATAACAAAACAAAAGAAATTGGGTCAGGAAACATTTGCAGGTACAATGCTCCTGGAAACCAAATGAGGGAAAATAAACCCACAGAAACTGAGACAAGAAAACAGATCGATGTAACTTCATTCAATGAAAGAAAAAAATGTAAACATAAAAGCTGCATTATAAACCATCAAAAAGATAATATGGAATGCTAAAAAATATGAGAGACATGGCATCTCACTTTCTTTCTCTGTCAGCAGTACTTTTATAATACCGAAAACTATTTATATGGACTGATGTTTCAGAACTTATAAACAATATTTTCCAACTAGCATCAATTCTTTGTCCCTAACTGTCAACCCCATTAAATCCGCTTTGTGGTTTCACTTCTGGCGTTTCACGTTCACAGCGATTTTCCCTACTGTTGAATGCTCTCCTCGCGGTGTGTGGCCCTGCCCTTTTTCTACAGCGGAGGCAGCCCTTAAACAGGCACAAAATTCGCCCAGTCATCAAAACATTACCGAGGTTCTTCCATTAACACAACCATTTAAGTCAGTGATATAAATGACCATGATGGTAAAATATGGACTTATATGGACTTTAGAGGGGTTTTGAGAAAAGAGGCCCTACAAGCCTCTGTGGTGGATGATGACTGAATTTGGTACAAGTATTGGGTGAGGCAAATAAATCCTCAGCCTCAGGAGCAACCCCCCATCGTGTGCTGGCCATCTTTCTGCCTGTCAAAGTCATTAAAAACTAATATTGATATATCTCTTAGTGTTATTAATTGTGTGTGCATACCATCCTGCAAATTAAGTTATTTTACTACATGTGTGTGTCCTGAAAAAAGGAGGTTACAGGTGGCCAGTCTCTATTTCAATTAATCCCTTATGTTATGTTGACTGTTCACTTCACATGGGCCGCGTGGGTTTCAATTGACGTGTAAAAAGTAAGGTTCACTGTACTGTACCGTATATGCTATTGACCTACTTTTTCAGTTGTTTCTCCCCTCAACAAATGACAGTAAATAAATGAAATTTGTGTCTATAAAGTGCACTTGTGATAAATAACAATATGGAATAGTTAAAAAGAGTGCCCAGGTAATTTCCTTTACTAAGTTACCCACATTAAGACATTTTAGTTTAATTGACTAATAAAAGTTTAAAGGTGAGAAATTAAATGAATGTATTGTTACTTAGTAACTTAAGACAATTTTCTGTACCTTGGAGGTGGTGGCACACCGTTCTGAACACTGAAACATAGACCATGTGCTTGTCCTGGTATATGATAAGGATTTTGTCCTAAGATGACCACTTTGATGTCCTGCAACTTACATGCTTGAGTCCAAGAGAACACCTGGTCCTCTGGGGGGAAGATTGTTGCTCGTTTGCGCTTGTGTTCCAAAAATTTACTCAACTGTTCAGTAATCAAAGGAAATGTTCTTTTTAATTTGAATATTTCTAACATATATCTAATTCCAGTACTTTCTTAGAGTAAGAAATAAAATCCAATATAAAGCAACAAGATAACTAAATGATAAGATGACTTAAAGGAGGAGAATGACTTAAAAAAATTATAACCTTAAATATGATATTCAAGTAGAGTGTTGGTTCATTGTCTGTCTTGAACTGCTCATGGTAAAGTGCCACAAAGGGATATAAAAACAATTATGAAATGGGAGGATTTCCCATTCTAACATCTGACCAAAAATTTACTTTCTATAACAACCAGGCGGTAGTACTTCCCTGTTTGGTAGCTGCATACTACCTACTACACTAAAGTAGTTAATCTTAAGTGAAATACAGTATACTGAGAGGGCTAATGTTCAGGTAATGATGAGATAGAGAGATAGTGTATTTTTCCCACCTTCTCAAAGTAGGGCTGAGAGAACTGAGACTTGAGGGCCAGGTACCAACTATGACCAATGTTCTCATGCAGACCTGGAGTTTTCTTACACTGTTTTTTTATCTCTGCCTGTAAAATTAGTACGAATCTCCCTGTAGCTATATAAACAAAAATGCATTCAGTGATGGCCAGTGCTTAGCCAGGTATCACAACTTTTTAAGCGACAATAAGAAATGTAAGCATATAAAAGAAACAAATGGTATAATAATTCACAGCCAGTTGACTGATATTGTATTAAAACAATAATAAGCCAACTAATAGAAAACAAGACAAATAGTAAATAAGTTATACTATACAGTACATCTACATCAACAAACAAGTGCACATTGGCACTGAGCAACAATCATTAATATATGAAACCTACCCTAATTTTGTTTTGCATCATGCGTTGTTTCTGCTCTGGGGTAAGGCCAGATTGGACCTTCTCATCACGACACTTTGGGGGCATTCCTAGAGAGGTATACATGTATTTCTTCAATATCCTTTGACAATTTAAGCATGTAATAAATAATCTTTATTTTGTGATGCAGCTACAGTATCAACAACTTGTCTAAGCTGATGTTTCAATGTGTATTAGCAGAACTTATGAAATTTTTAAATGTTTTCAATACCTGCTCAGTTATACACATCCACAGTACAGTATGTAGGAGTATTAGTGGAAATTTAACAAGACAAGAAAAGAGGAAGAATGAAGGAACAATTCTACGAAGTTAAAGATAATGAACTGAAAAAGAAAAGAATATAAGAAAAAAAAAGAGAGGAAAGTACAGTACTGAAAAAGTAAACAAAGAAAAATACAAAATGCAAAGGAGTAAGCAGATGTGTTGTTGGCAAGATAAAATTCCATTTGTTTTTGTTTTTAAATAGCTACTGCACAATATCAGGCACAGACAAATATTGGTCTGGTTCACTAACCCACCATATGAGATCATCACACACATTCAAGCTAGACATGGCTCACCTTGGGGTATGGTCCAGTTCTTTGATGAATGATTCCCCGCACACTAAAAGGAGTACATCATCATACATGTATTGTTGAGAAGCTGAAATTAATAATCATCTCTAATTTAAACCTGGAAATATCACTTGAACTACCCTAAGACATAACCCTGCTCAGGTCACCACTTGTTCCTTCTTCATCACCCAAAACCTCAGCCTCAGGGGAGTATAAAGTATAGTATGTGATAATTCTATTGATTTTATATGAATATGTTAATGGTAAGCCAACTTATTCTTTTTATTTTTACCTTTAATGGAACATGGATGCATCAAGGCACTGTAGCTTCAGGTCCATAAGATACTGTACTGTATCGTACTTCACATTCACAAGAACGGCTGTAAATGGTCTAGTATAATACAGTAGCTACACAGGAGGTTTATCTTCGTTAAAGTTCCCCTGCTTATTTCACCTGATGATTAACCAACCTAATGTGAAGTGGAGGATTAGGTGAGGCTATGCTAGGCTAGAGTAGGTTGTGATAGGTTATGTTCGATTAGGTTAGGTTAGATAAAGTTAGGTTAGCATTAGAGTGTTTATTCATTAGGTTAAATAGGCTGGGGTGCCCAAACTCCATCAGATCCACCTTAACTACAAAACAATTTCAGTTTAAATACTTACTGGAAGGATCATTTTGCTCATCAATCTTTGATTTTTTGGTGACACCATTAACCTGTAAATTTACATCTTCAATCAAATAAAAGTTATCTTTAAAGTGAGGTAAATATTCTGAGAGATGGATATAAAATACACAAGTGGTGGATACAGTGTGATAAAACGTGTACTATCAGTCAATACTGTACATTAATGATTAAGACTGGAAAATATTTATGAACATGTACAGTCCCCTTCACTGGTGCCTTTACAGGGGTTTGTCAGGTTTTGTGCAATGTGACAGCGCTGTGTTTGTTTACATTTGACAGAAAGAAACTCGCAACAGCAACCATACTATGGAATCAAGTTAAAACAATAGAAACAATCTCAAATGTGGAATGTTTATATGAGGAGCCCTTAAATGTACTAGTGAAGGGGACTGTACATACAGAGAATGGTTAAAATTCACAGGGAGCGGGTTCCCAAAATGCCCACGAATGGCTAAATCTGTGAATACCATTTCTTGCCCGAGAGGGGAGGAACAACAAACCAGATCCAGGCCAACCCATTATCTGCCTCAGTGCAGGAGGCAATGATATTGGCTGGTGTAGGAGTGAAGAGCTTCTTAATAAGTTCAAAACAGCTATAGATCGTATTAGGACTAAGGGAGGGATCCCATCATATGCGGTGTCCTGCCTAGAAGGAGAGTTAGCAATGAATGGTTGTCAAGGGCAGTTGGTGTCAACGGCCGTCTTGACGGATATTGCAAGTCAATATCAGTCCCATTCATTGACAACTGGGGCAACTTCTACGGCAGAAGGGACCTTTATGCTAGGGATGGGGTACACCTGTCTCGGGAAGGGGTGGCAACCCTGGCTGGGTCTCTAGAGGGGGCAGTTCAAAAGATATCGAAGCTTTTAAACTGCTAGGGGAACATATGGGCACGGGGGTGGAGGAGTCTGCAGTGGGAGCTGGTGAACAAAGTGAAAGATTACAGGGAAATAGTGTTAGGAATGATGACAAACTAAATTAGACAGGGAGGTTAAACCTAAACGAGGTAAAGTGAGGACTCAGATCACGACTAACTTAAATGTCTACTACGCGAACAGTAGAAGTATGAGAAACAAAATGGATGATATTAGGGCCTTAGTATGTACCGAAAAAAATTGATATAATAGCATTCACTGAAACATGGTTCAACCTAGACTCACGTGAGTTACCAGTCGAATACCAAATTGCGGGTTACAAATTGTTCCATACCGATAGGCAGACCAGGAAAGGAGGCGGAGTAGCAATCTATGTCAGGGATAATCTGAAGTGTGAAATAATTAAGGAAATAAAAACTGAGCGGAATACAGAAACAATTTGGATAGAATAAATCGACGGTCGGGAAAAATTAATCACAGGAGTAATATATAGACCTCCCAATCTTGATAGAGTAAATGAGCGACTTATCTGGGATGAAATGCACAGGGCTTCCATACACAACAAAGTCTGTATAGTAGGCGACTTTAACCTTGGCCAAATAGATTGGACTGACCTTATGGGTAACTCAGAATCAGAGGATTTTCTCGAAACAATCCAGGACTGTTTCCTAAGTCAACATATAGCCGAACCCACCCGGGGTAATAGTATACTCGACTTAGTTCTGTCGAACAGAGAAAACCTTAATAGCAATGTCGAGGTAGGGAATGAGCTTGGAAACGGCGATCACAAAGAAATTAGATTCCAGTTAGATTTTCAGGGCAGACGTAAGGAAAATTCCACTAAAATACCAGATTTCAGAACGGCAAACTTTGACAGTTTGAAGAAGCAGCTGAGAAAGGGGGTGTCGTGCTTGGGGGTGAGCTACACCTCACATGAGGTAACCTCACTCAATGGACCCACAGAGGGTGACCTCACTGTACCAGGAGACCTGACGGTTGAAACTGACCTGATAACGAGATCTGAGATTGCCGAGTTCCACGACAATTTAAATAATGAGTTACTTAATGCATAAAGGCAGAACATACCATACAAAAAACTCAGATCAGACAACAATGACCATAAAATGGATAAATAATTTTTTAAAGAAAATCATTGGCCAAAGGAAGGCTATAGGTAGAAGGATAAATCGTGGTGAAATTTACCTCCGGGGTTATTATAAGGTATTGGCGAGTAGGGTTAAAACCGAGATAAGGAAAGCTAAGAGGAATAATGAGGTAAGGATAGCAACGGAGGCAAAGACAAACCCCAAGGGATTCTACCAAATGTATCAAACTAAAACACGAGAAAAGATTGGACCAATACGGTCAGATACCGGCGAGCTAACTGATAACGACGGAGAAATGAGCAATAATCTGAATAAATATTTTTCGACAGTTTTCACCACCGAAAATTTAAACATGATACCCGAGGCACCGACTCTATTCAGAGATAGTGAAGAAAACAAATTAAGCGAGATAGTAGGAACTAGTAATGATGCTAATAAGCAAATAGACAAACTAAAGCCTAATAAGTCACCTGGCCCCGATGAGATAGTTGCCAGAGTATTAAAGGAATGTAAGGAAGAGCTTAGTATGCCCTTAGCATTGTTGTTTAACATGTCCTTAAAAACAGGTGTAGTACCAGAATCCTGGAGGATAGCAAATGTAATACTGATTTTCAAGAAGGGGGGATAGATCACTATCCTCTAACTACCGCCCGATCAGTCTAACATCAATAGTAGGCAAATTACTGGAAGCAATCATTTCAAACTCTATTCGAAATCACCTGGAGAAGCACCGAATGATCAATGATTCCCAGCATGGCTTCACAAGCGGGCGTTCATGTCTAACTAATCTATAAACATTCTTTTCATCAGTTTTCGAATCGGTGGACGAGGGGCACAATTATGATGTGGTATATCTCGACTTTAGCAAACCCTTTGACAGAGTCCCCCATGAAAGACTAATTAGAAAGGTAGAAGCGCATGGCATCAAAGGTAATATCCTTAAATGGATTAGGGCGTGGTTACAGGACAGGAAATAGCGAGTGAGCATTAACGGCACTAAGTCCCATTGGAGCAACGTCACTAGTGGAGTTCCCCAAGGCTCAGTTCTTGGACCATTATTATTTATTATATACATAAACGACATAGATATCGGCATAGACAGCAACATAAGTAAATTTGCTGATGACACTAAAATAGGACATGTTATTAAATCTGACGAGGGCTCCGCAAAACTACAGGAAGACCTAAACAGAATTTTCGAATGGTCTGATAAATGGCTGATGAAATTCAACGTGGACAAATGTAAAGTACTCAGTATAGGAGATGTAAACAGGGAAACCAGTTACCGGATGAACAATGATGCCATTGAGAAATCCGACTGCGAGAGAGATTTAGGAGTAATGATAAGTAGGAACCTTAAGCCAAGTAAACAATGTGTTTTTGCTCGTAACAAGGCTAATAAAGTATTTGGGTTCATAGAAAGGAGTGTTAGTTACAAGACTAGCGAGGTCATCCTAAAACAGTATCTTGCGCTTGTGAGACCACACCTGCATTACGCAGTTCAGTTCTGGTCACCGTATTACAGAATGGGTATAGAATCCTTGGAAAGAATTCAGAGGAGAATGACAAGACTAATTCCGGGCATTAGGAACCTTCAGTATAGACAGGTTAAAGCATCTTAATTTGCACTCCCTTGAGAGACATAGAGCGAGGGGCGACCTGATAAGACGTCTAATTATAAGATAATTTTCATCTATTACATTACCGGCGGAAATGTATAATAAAGGAGATAGGTCTTCCAAAATATTTTCTATTTTCTTCCATTAACATCCCGCCATTATCGTCTGCCTCTCCTCCAACACTCCGTGTCTCCTGCGTCCCCTTCATAAATCATCCTCCGCATGCGTTGCTGTACATGTCAAGCGGCCAATCAAAAGCCTTTTTTATTTTGAAACCAATTAAAATGTTTTTGGGTTTAATTCTCGGTATTTTTGGCCCAATAGCATTTTTTCGATCGCATGGTGTTCTTCCAACCTCAGTAAAATGTACTAAGAGCAAGACTGAATGTAAATATCGCAAAGACCAACATATGTGGCGTTGTGCAAGAATCCCAGAATGCAACGACGAACAAGAACCAGGCCAATAAGGTAAGAAATAGGTGATTCCATCATATGGTGAGAGTCAGTTAAGTTAGGTCAGGTCAGGTCAGGTCAGGTCAGGTTAGGTTAGGTTAGGTTATTGTTTTTCTAGTGTTTTATTGTGTATTTGTTAGTCGCTGAAGGCACTTTTTTTTTCTCGGAAAACGTCAAACCAAAAAAAAATCGCTAAAAAAACCGGCTAATTTCCGCCAAAAAGGAAGGTCATATTCGTCTCAGCACACACAAATACAATAGAATAATATATTTTTAACTTACTACAAGTGAACGGTGCTACAAGAAAACTTTACCAAGGCGTGAATGGAATCCTAACTTAAATCGGAACTCAGCCGTTCACGGCAAAATATCCACTATGTACAATTTAAGGCTAGATGTTTGTCCATCACTAACCTCTAAGTCCTCGCTCTCGCGCTTAATGACAGGCTTAAAGAAGTTCTTGATTGTTTCCTGTGACGCCATACTTCAGCAACAGGTTAACTCGGACGTCCAAAAGTGATTCCCAAGAGTGTGAAGTAAAGGTTTTGTCTGTCTTGCCGCCTCACACACCACCATGTGGGAAGCCCGCCCGTCTCTTTTTACGATGTTAAAACCTTACCACAACCATAAACAGAGTCTAAAATATTATTTTCTAAGCAAAAATATCTCAACCAATTTCAGCTAAATAAAAAATAATTTCATACTGTATTCATATTTAGTTAGTTATTGTAATTATTAGCTGTTTAAGAGTGATTTCTAATTCATATATTTTATTTAATTGTTGGACTAGTGTTATTACTAACCTTGTTACACTATTTATGGCGACAATGTTGAGCACAAAATAACAATTTAATTTTAAGCGATCAGCTCCTTTGAAAAAAAAATATTTGTTTTCCTTTCACTCGATATTATAAGACAAGCAATAATAAAATAAGCTAAATGTTCTCTCATTACGCATCATAATTGCAACCATGTCAAGAATTTTGAACGTAAAAAAAATATATGTCAAATCTCCACATACCTAAAGGTAAATTCATATAGTATTTAGTTATTCACCCGAATCTTATAGATTTATTCTCATAAAATATTAATTTCGGATATTTGATATATAATACGAATATAAATTGCCCCGATCATTTCTTAAGGTAGATATTAAAATGAAAGGAACCATCAGTCCTGTAGTGGACGTCTCCCCTACAAATGCTTATCGCATTCCGACGTGCCGTCTCCTAGCAACCAAGCGAGAGCTGACGCCAGATGGTACGGTTGCTTAGCAACGAAACTAGTCACCGGCAACTTTCTGGGTTTTCCCAACATGATTCATAGAGGACTGGCGGCTGCTGCTGGGTATATAAGCTCTGTCTCTCCATTGAGATTCATTCTGCCATCTTCCTGAACAAGCAACACCTCCTCCAGCAAGCTCCACGCTGTTAACATTCATTCAACCGGGAGGCCAGCAACAGGCAACATCTTCTCTAACGAAGCTCCTGCACATCTACCTCCTTCAACACGCTACTCACCGAACGTCTTCTACTTAGCAGCTCCTCACCACACGGCACCTCCAGCAACAGACTGTCTATCATATAACTTTTATTATATAAGAAAACCACATTAGAGTTTCCTTCCATCCTGAGTGCTAGACAACATTAATATCTCGATACCCCTACAATGGTGACTCCCGGAGATAAGCACTCACACAGGATGGAGGACGGACGGATCTCTCTGCCGACTTTCAACCACAACGTCGAGGACTGGCTTGACTATGTGGAAGCAGCCCTCGCCGGCTCACAAGCGACCGACGAGCAAAAGTATGGCGCCCTGCTCTGTGCCTTGCCCACGGAAGTGGCCACGCGGGTCTCACAAACCATTTCCAACCCTCCAGATCACAACAAATTCGCTACCCTGCGGGCTGCCTTGAAGACGTGTTATCAACAGACCAGCCCCAATCTCCTGCAAGATCTATCCTCTACCTCCCTTGGGAACTCAACCCCGGGACGTCTCTGGGAGGAGATGTGTCGGCTGAACTCCCGTCACACAGACAGACTCCCCGACTCTATCCTGCGCCAGCTTCACGCACAAAAGCTACCCACAGAAGTACGCAACATCCTGTCCGCAGTAGATTATTCTACGACACCGGAACTATATGCAACCGCGGCAGATAGAATTTTTAACGAGTGCGCTGCTGCACCCCTTGCCGCCACGGTCACACCAGTACCTACCATCGAACTTGTAAGCTGGGTCAACACCCCTCAGCCGAGCAATACCTCACAAGACATCAAGGACCTGTTGCAAATTTTGAACTGCAGGATGGACACCATTGAGCAGTTCTGCTCCTCCATACCCGCTGCTGCGCCGGTTCCTGACTCACACACTACGCCCTACAAGTTCCGACACACAGCAGCCAACCCCCAGCACAACAAATTTACCCTCTCCTGGTATCACCAGACTTTCGGCCGCAATGCTCGAAACTGTGAGCCCTATTGCACCTATTCGGGAATTGGCAACACCGGAGGCTGGTAGACGCCTCAGCCTCCGTCCCTCCAGGCGTCTCATTACTGCGCGTCACCGACCTCACCTCCGGCAAGAAGTTCCTCATCGACACAGGTTCATCGGTCAGCCTCATCCCTCCCTCACTACGAGACAAGTCAAAGCAACCCTCTTATGACCTGTTCGCTGCCAACGGTACCTCCATCGCCTCCTACGGCGTACGCACCCTCGCCTTAGACCTCGGTCTGCCCAAGACTCTGCGTTGGTTATTCGTGATAGCAGACGTGTCTCAACCCATCCTTGGTTTCGACTTCCTCACCTTCCACAAGCTCGGCGTCAAACCAAGTCATCTATGCCTCATTCATGAGCCTACAGCACGCAAGATCCAGGGTTCTCGTGCCAGACACACCGACACTATCACCTGTCTTGCGCCTTCCAACGAGTTCTCCTCCCTGCTCGACGAATTCAAGGAGCTTTTCTCACCCCGAGTCTCCCTACCCCCACCACCTACATCGGGAATTTTCCACCACATCGAAACCAAAGGACCACCAGTCTTTTCACGCCCTCGCCGCCTGCGCCCTGAGCTCCTGAACACAGCCAAAGTAGAATTCAACAAACTACTGCAAGACGGCATCATTCGCCCTTCAAGGAGTCCCTGGGCATCGCCTCTTCACATGGTTCCTAAGCGAACACCCGGCGAGTGGAGGGTGTGTGGCGACTACAGAGCCCTGAATCTCGTCACCAAACCTGACAGGTACCCTATTCCGCATGTCCAGGACTTTCACCACAAACTTCATGGCAAGACTATCTTCTCGAAGATCGACTTGGAGCGTGCCTTCCACCAGATCCCAGTAGCACCGGCAGATACCCAGAAGACAGCCATCACCACTCCGTTCGGACTCTTCGAGTACACTTTCATGAGTTTTGGCTTACGCAATGCAGCACAGACTTTCCAGAGGTTCATGGACCATATGCTTCGCGACCTCGATTTTGTCACCGTCTACATTGACGACATCCTCGTCGCATCTTCGACGCCTGCCGAGCACCGCCACCACCTACAACTTCTTCTCCAACGCCTGCAGAACAACAACATGAAAGTTCATCCTGCTAAGTGCGTCTTTGGAACCTCGGCCATCGATTTCCTCGGTCACAGAGTCTCGCCCAGTGGCATACAACCCCTACCACAGAAGATAACCGCAATTAGGGAGTTCCCCAAACCTGAAACGGCGAAGAAACTCCGAGAGTTCCTGGGTTTAGTCAACTACTACCACCGCTTCATTGACAAAGCTGCCACCGTCCTAGCCCCCCTACACGACCTTCTCAAGGGACGCCCAAAGAAGTCTCACAAGTCTCTCATGTGGACTCAAGAGGCTACTACGGCATTCACCACTATCAAACAGCACATCACACGCCTCACCCTCCTGGCCCACCCCGCACCTAACGCCCGGACCACTCTCACAACAGATGCTTCTTCTACTGCAGTGGGCGCCGTCTTACAGCAGGAGATCAACGGAATTTTCATGCCCGTTGCTTTCTTCTCACAACGGCTTCAACCACCACACCTCAAGTACAGCGCTTTTGATCGAGAACTCCTGGCCATATACTTGGCTGTCAGACATTTCCAACACTTCCTCGAGGCCCATCAGTTCACCATCTTCACTGATCACAAGCCCCTCGTCCACGCCTTCGCTTCAGCTTCCCAGTCACATACACCTCGTGTCCTGCGCCACTTGGCTTACATCTCGGAGTTCTCCAGCGACATCCAACACATTAAAGGCAGCCACAACGAGATCGCCGACGCCCTCTCTCGTTGTATATCCACCATTCTTCCCTCATCTCCACCCATTGATTATGGGCAGCTAGCCGCGGCTCAAGAGAAAGACGAAGACCTGGCAGCATACAAGACATCCCCCTGAGGCCTCATACTCCAAGAACTCCCTGTTCCTGGCACAAAGATAAAATTGTGGTGCGACGTATCCTGTGGACAGCCTAGACCGTTCGTGCCTCACGTCCACCGCCGCGCTGTTTTCGACCGCATCCATGGTCTCAGCCACCCGGCATCAAGTCTGATACTAAGAAATGGGCTGCTCAGTGCCTGGCCTGCCAGTCCTCCAAAATACATCGTCACATACGGGCCCCCTTACAAGCCTTTCCTATTCCCAAAGGACGTTTTCATGTAGTACACATCGACATCGTGGGACCTCTACCATCACCCTACGGTAGCACCTACATCTTCACCTGCATCGACCGTTTCACCAGGTGGACAGAAGCAATTCCCATGCCCAACGCTACAGCAGAGACTACTGTCCGCGCCTTCATGTCTGGTTGGGTTTCCCGTTTTGGCCCCCCCCGCAACCGTAATCACTGACCGAGGAGTACAGTTTGAGTCACAACTGTGGCAGCACCTCCTACAGTTCCTCGGCACGTCTAGACAACGCACTACAGCATACCACCCTCAAGCCAACGGCATGGTAGAACGTTTTCACCGGCAGCTGAAGGACGCACTCAAGGCACAGCACGACCCTTACAGCTGGACTGATGCGCTTCCCTTAGTGCTCCTCGGCATCCGTGCGTCACACAAGGAGGATATGGACTCGGACTGTAGCCCAGTAGATCTGACACTAGGCGAGCCCCTTCGGCTACCCGGGGATTTCTCACTCCCTCCTGATCCCAACCAAACCACTCCAGCCGTTCGTCACGACTTACTCCAAAAGCTACGACAAGCAGTTTCTGCATTCAGAGCTACTGCTCCTCGCCAGCCTACTCGGCGCCCTGAACACATCCCTCCTGTACTACTCACAGCCGAGTATGTTTTCGTCAGGCATGATGCTCACCGCAACCCATTACAACGCCCCTACGATGGACCCTTCCAGGTGGTTACCCGTTCAGCAAAGTTCCTGACAATTATCCGGAATGGCAGACATGACACCGTCAGCATAGACCGAGTCAAACCGGCCGCCTTACCCGTCGGGCCCCCAGCCCAGCAGCACCATCAACAAACTACTCCTGCACCAGTCTACCCCCAGTTACCACCGGCAGCAACACCACGCCCACGACATTTCTGGGCACTCTCTTTTCACCCTCATGTACAACCTGCTC